AAATATAAATGGGAGGACAAATTACACTAATGTTATTGAGTCCTAATTATTTCCAGATGTGAATAATTGGAGATTTTTTTTAATCATTCAGTCACTTAACTAGAAGGYATTAATACTATTTTAGCCATATTTTTGATAGAACAGACAAAAAGCATATATTTGTTGTAGGCCATAATGGTGGTTTATGAGATCACAAACTAAGTGAATATAAATTATAGGAAAGGAGAAAAGCAAGTCTGACACTAAAGTTCTTAATTTCAGAAAGGGGAAATTATAAACACAATAAAACCTTATGCACATAAATGTAGTAGAGAAATCAAATTTTAGTTAAATGTGCAAAACCTAAGCATCATATTTCAAGTTAGCTGTTCAGCAAATTGCTGAGAATATGTAAGTATAAGTGAACTCAAAATAGATTTTCTTACCAAGTACTTTAATATAACATCCTGAAATTGTCTTCCTTTCAACAAGTTACTTCAGAGCCTGTTTCTGTTCCTGCTCTCAACTCCACTGCACAAATGCAGCTCCTATAAATGGTATTGAGTCCTTCTATTCAAGTTTAGATATATGCCATATTCACATTAGGTGTTCCACAAACACATCATATTCTGTGTGAACTCATGAATAGTTAAAGATAATAAATTTTAAATGTAATAATTTAAATCACAGTTTGCACTTGAGTATATCTTTATRACAGAATGGAAGTTGATTATATTATGAAGAAAGAAAAGAGAAAGAAAGTCCTCTAGATATCTAGCTAAATGGATATATACTGGGGTAAAAGTGTAATACATTAATATTAAAGTATATCTCTGAAGGTAGTTTAATTATTTTGTAGTTAAAAATGTGCTTAGTCAAATCTGCRTCACTTTAGTTTACCTCCACTTTGCAATAATATTCCCTTAAAAATAATGATCTACTGATATTTARGAACACAGTTTCTATTTCCTCAGATTTTAAATGTTTAAGCGTCTCTGGAAAAATTGTGACTATTAAAAAATGTGAAACAATTTTAATATGTCAGAAAAGATAAAATTCAAAGCTCTGATCTATGTTYAGTTTTAACTACAGAAATTTTTTAAAAAACAGCTAGTTAGTCTATATGTTTACATACAAAAATGATATAAATAAAACCAAAGAAAACCTTTCACTAACACATAAACTATTCATAATTCCATGGGGTTTAAGTTTCTTTGGCAGATGTCTTATCACTTGTAAGAGTAGCTGTTTCTTCGTCTAACAAATGAGGAATTAATATAGGTTAGTAATGCCGGATTAAACTAGCTTAACATTTTGGCAAACAAARGAACACAGAAAAGGTTTGAAAGGTAAAACTAAAATATACATTTAGTAGACACACTGCGAATAATTTATGAGAAATACCACATTGGAAATTGAAGCAAAAGAGCGTTAGAGATAACATTAAAACCAGCTGTGATTCTTTCCATGCTAAGTATTGTAAACAGATATTGTAAATAWATTTTTGAATACCACAACATATATAAATTTTTGAAAGACACAAATGATTAATAGGATAGAAAGTCTGAAATAACAAAATCCCATTAAAAAACCAATAAACTTGAAGACGTGGGTYAGGAAACATTCCTTGCATATTTTTCGAGCAGGTTGGAAACACTGATTAAGTTCTGAAAGTACACAAAGAAATTGAAATTCATGTTATATAAAACCACCCTACAATAAAAGCCCAGATACTATTGGCTGAATCCTGCATCAGTAAAGGTAACAAGAATCACAGATGTAACAGGTAAAAGGATCAAGTTACAACATAAAACCACCTGCCTCCACTAGAGTTGGCAACTGAAGATGTCAAGTTCCAAAAATTTGCCTCTTTTCATGTGCCATTTTGACAGCTTCTCTGTCAAGCCACACACTTCCTAGGTACTGAAAAATGGATAAAATCTTTTTATAGTACTTCACAAATTATTCAAAAGAAAGATGTTAATTCTTCACTTCACAAATAGATTGTATATTAAATATTTTGAATATAATTATATTAAAGTTTTTTATAGACTCTCTATTTTTCCAAAAGGAAAAGGTTGTCCTCGGAATGTTTTCTAAGATTCTGGCACTGTTTCATTGTTTTCGTTGTTTTTTTTTTTTTTTTTTTATGATATTTTTTTTTTTTT